ACTGCTTGGATTGGCATCTCCTTCTTCTATATTAGGTAAGGAGAATTTATAATAGTGTGTATGATCGAAGGAGCAAAAATTAGTGTTTTGGCTGATAGAACCATCATTTTTAATGCTGTGCCTGAAAATACTGATCTGGAAGCAATTTAGACAGTTGATTTACAACCAACTTTGAAAAGAATAACACATGTTCTCAAGATTTCTCAAACAAGCAGTGAATAGGGAGCTGTCCAGCCACTTGAATTTTCTTTAATCTTACGGTTTAATCAAAGATTCCCTTGTAAAACTTCACCCTTGGGAGAGTAGGGACACTCCTTGGAGGACCTTAGGTCAGAAATCAATGTGGAGTTTTACTGTGATCACCACAGTTACCTCATGCTTGCAGAACATGTTTCAGTTTATGTGCCAGGTTAAACTTAATTGTTTCAGAACTGCAGACACTCCCGGAGAGTGAAAATCAGAACGTGTGCAAAAAATATTGTCAAGGGACACAGCGTGCCCTGGCATGTCTGACAATGAAATGAAAAGCATTTCTCCAATGATCCTGGAATATCCATGAATCAAGAGATTCTTGGATATTAAGTCTTTTAATCTTAAAACTGACGTGGCAGAGCTAAAACTTAATAGGTAGAGGCCTAAAGCAGGATAGTCCAGGTCAAGTCCCACTGTATACCCATTGGAATTCAAATGGAAAAGTCTCTTGTATATACAGGAAAAGGAGGGACATCTAAGGTCAGTGCTTTTAAATCTTTGAGTTGTAGCTTCATGATTTTTGCAATATATTCATATTTTTCTTAGCTTCTACATAAAATATTCTTTATAAAAATGCTGTTTTGTTATTTTAAAAATAATAACTACCATTGCACTATTAAAAAATTCACTAAAAAGCAGTATTTTCCCAGAAATGGTAAACACAAGGAGACATACAGATACCTATAATAAAAACAAACAATATCAATAAACTACATTAGCCATATTAAAATATATTATTGAAAATGCTATTTAACTATAAATAGAAATGAATATTAATAAAGAAATCCAAAGAATGATAAATTTTATCTATTTGTAAAATATCACTGTTAAAAAAATAGGACCACTACTTTGGGGGAATATTGAATGCTTTTCCCTGTTTCTCCTGCTAGCTACAACTAGAAAGCTTAGACAATATAACAAAATAAGCATAGAAGAGCTTGAAAAGTAGAAGAAGGCACAGCAATTAGGGATCTAGAAACCCAGGGATAAAATGTGATAAATTTCCTGTTTTTTTTTTTGTCAAGTATTCCACACCTGGAGCTGAAAAGAGCCAGTCATCTGAAAAGACCAACAGGTGCAAACCAACAAAGCCCCCAACAGAAGCCTGCTTCTGTTTAGTTAAAGAATGAAGGAAAGGTCAACCAAGTAAGAAAGAAATCACTTTGAACACAACTTTTCAACTCTAGCTAAACACCACACCCTTGCCAGTGAAGGCAATAGGTAACTTAGCTTCTACATTTGTGCAGACATTACTACTTATTAATCAAACCCTACCAGATGTTGTCAGAGAGGACAGTATAAAAACATGAATATTACTATGACCACTCGTAACCAGCATCGTTTCTGTCAGTGTTAGTGGAGTTCACACAGAGACCCTGGAATTCTACTGACTTTACATTAATGAGACACTTCTCCTCTTCTATCCTGGGTGGTATCAGAGATAACCTTATGAGAATCAGAGTTTTTACCATCATGCAGAGAATGCAAAGCCACGCCTGACATAATTTCAGTGTGGACCACTTGGGAAAACAGAAATCCTACCCAAGCCAATATTTGCCAAGACTCCCTATTCCCCAAATTTTCAAAGAGACTGAGTGGATATCTTACATTTCCCCCTCCATCTGGCACAAACAAGATGGTATTCATACTTCTCCTGATTGAACAGAATCACAGAAAGAAGTAAATAAAAACAAAATATTTCAATGATATTTCAATGATAGTCTCATAATATGAAAATATCCAGATTTTGATGCAAAAAAAATCACTTGTTATACCAAGAGGTTGGAAGATTTCAAACTGAAAGATAAAATACAATAGAAGGCAATACTGAAATGACAGAAGGAGACTTATCTGGAAAAAAATTTTAAGTAGACCCAATAAAAATGATATAGTGAACTATTATGAGCAAGGCTTAAAGAAAAGAAAAAATTGGAAAGATTTAGTAAAGATACACAAAAATCTCCACAAGGAAAAAGAAGATAGAAAAAGAGCAGTAGAAATTTTGGAACTAGCAAATAACCAAAATTAAAAAAAAATAGCAATGGTTTTAATAACATAGTGTAGTTGGAGAAACAGTCATTGAACTGAAATTATCCTGAACAAAAGAAAAAAAAATAGAGGGGAGAAACTGAAAAGAATCTCAAGAACTGGGCTGGGATGTGGCTCAAGTTGTAGTGCACTCACCTGGTATGCATGAGGCCCTGGGTTTGATCCTCAGCACCACATAAAAATAAAATAAAGATATTGTGTCCACCTAAAACTAAAATAATAAATAAATATTAAAAAAAGAATCATAAGAACTATAGCAAAACCATGGTATCCATATAATCAGAAATGTGGAATGAATGGAGAAAGAGGGTAGACTTGAAAATCTTCAAAATTTGATAGGATATATAAACCAGAATGATTCTAGAAGGAGAATGAACCACAAATATTAACCCAAGGTTATCCCAGCCTACAGATATCACAATTAAGCTTAAGAAATCGAAAATAAGAAACAAATCTTGGGAGTGGACAGGAAAAAAATTAACATATTTGCATGTAATAATTTAAATGGCATTGGCTACTTACTAATTAGAGTTTGGAGGCCAGAGGACGTAGTACAATATTTTTCAAGTTCTGAAAGAAAAGTAAACCTAGTTTTTGAACAGAATGGAAATATCCCTCATAATCAAAGAGGAAATCATGACATTTTTAAATGAGTTAAAACTGAAGGAATTTGTTACTGGCAGTCATACTGTAAAAGAATGGCAACAAAAAGTTGTTTTAAATAGAAGGTGACTGGTAAAAGTATGAATCTTTGGACATCCAAAAAGAAAAAAAAAAAGTGATATGCACATATATGGGTAAATGAAATAAATGTTTCTTCTTCTGAATTTTCTAAATACTATTTAACATTGGAAGCCAAAAATATTTTACAAAGTCTGATGTGGTTCTAAGAGAATATATATATATATATCTCAATGGGAGAGACTAAAATGATATAAAAGAAGGTAAGATTTTACATGTCATTTAAGCTGGTAAAATGAAGGCATTATAGACCAGTTATGCATATATAAAGTAAAATCATGAGCTATACTCCCAAACACTATTAATGAATCAAAATGGAATTATAAAAATGTCCAAGAATTCTTGAGGAAGAAAAGAAAGGAAAATAGAGAAAACAAAGCTAAGAACAAAAGAAAGCAAAGAATAAAATGCCAGACATATAAAAATTACATTAAATATAAATTTTACAAATGAACAGCATAATTCATAGATTTGAAAGTATATTTAAAATGGTGACCCAACTATATGCTTTCTATAAGAAACTTACTCTAAATATTAAGATATATGTAGATTGAAAGTGAAAAGATATATGTAGATATCATTCACATTTTAAAACAAATAAAGCAGAAACAAGGAATTCACCAAGGAATGTAGGCAAAAATTAAAGAAAATCAAAACAGATAAAACTGAAAGGAGAAATAAGCAAATCTACAGTTATAATTAACATATTCAAAATCCCTCCCTTAAAAATTAATAGAAACACTAACCCATGAAATAAGCAAAGATATAGAAGAATTAAACAATAACAGCAACTAACAAAATTTAATTATTATAGAATACTATACACTATACCAATAACATATATATATATATATATATATGTTATATATAGATAACATATATATATATAACATATATATATATATATATATATATATATATATATATATATAGAGAGAGAGAGAGAGAGAGAGAGAGAGAACCTAGAATAATAGCAAAACAGATAATACCCAGTAATATAAACAAATCTCAACAAATTTAAAACAATTAAAACATTAAATAATATTTAAAGGATTAATATTTTTTTTTAATATTTTTGAAACAATAATAAAAGGAAACTCTAGATAGCTAGTAATAAAATGGTATTGGCTTAGGTTGTTCAAGAGTATCTACAAAAACATATTGCATTTAGAGATCAGGGGTAGATTGAAAAGAAAAAAGAGAGGAGCATAAGAAAGACTTAATTTTAAAAAACCTGGACAAATATAATATAAATGTTTTCAGTTTATGGGGATTAATTGAGTTATATGAATGGTATATGGCCATTTAATTAAACATATTATATGTTTTAATAATAAAAACTAAAAATGTAAAAAGTTTTAATAAAGCATATTTTCTGACTAAATAGAATCAAGCCAGGAATCAATTACAGAGAGGTAGCTTGTGAATCTCTAAACAATTTAGTGCTCAGCAACACACGTCCAAATAATACATGGGTCAAAGAGGAACTCTCAAGGGAAATAAAAAACAGTACTCCAAATAAACTAAAAAAAAAAAAAATATAGCATACAATAATCTGTGGCAGAAAGCTATAGGAATGCTGAAAGGAAAATTGATAGCATTAAAATCATGTATCAGAAAAAAAGAAAATAGAAAATAAATGATTCATGTTCCCTTTTTAATAGCCTAGAAAGAGAAGAACAAAATACTGACAGCAGAAATATAGAAGAAATGATAAAATATGAGTAGAAATCAATGAAATTTATAAAATAGAGAAAATCGATGAAATAAAAATTATTTATTCAAACATGACAATAAGATTGGAAAACTTCTAATAAGACTGACAAAAGGAAAAAGAGAGAAGATGGAAATTAACAGTATCAGGAATGAAACACTAGACATCGAAAAGATAACAAAAGAATAATAAAAGAACATAAATCTGACAACTTTTAAAATGGTTCAATTTCTAGACGCAGCGGAGCGCTCGCGCGGGAGGCTGGGCCTGAGCGCAGGACTACGTTTCCCAGCGGGCCGCGGGCCTGCGGGGACCCATTCCCGTGCCTGGGCCTCCGGAGTTGCTCCTGCGGTGGGCGCTGCTTTTCAAGATGTCCAATAAAGAATCTTATGGAAAAGAAGAAAAGTCTCAAAGAAAAGGCACTACCTTATTGCCAGTCTTTGATGAAGAAGACAAGAAAAAGAAAAACACCTCAGCAAGTTCTACTAGTTCAGTTTACTCTGTGAAATCAGTTTCATCAGAGAGTAGGAAACTGATCGAATGTAGACGTCGACACAGACACACCAAAAAAGAGACTGAAAACCAGTTCCTCATCCCAAGGACCTGCTAAAGTCCAAGAAACATCATATTCAAATGATAATCAGATTGTATTACAGATTCCTTCTTCAAAAGGAATTAAAGATATTAAAGTTAAAAATATTAAATTGACAAATGTTAGGAGTAAGCTTGGCCATGAAATGAAAAATCTTAACAGTCATAAAATTACCAAAGATGTGAAACCTAAAGTTGAAGGCCAGGCAAAGGAAAAGAAGTGGCCTCATTTACTGGCCCAGAGGGAGAAGATGAAAGAACTGAACAGAAAATTTAGAGAGAATTCTGAAAAACCTGTCTTGGAGAAATGCCAGAAAAATCCGTTTTCTCAGGATTGTAATTCCAACAGGATAATTAAGGAACCCTTTGAATCTAGAAAGAAGATCAGCTTCAAAATCCCAATAAAATCTTGTAATACTTTCCAGAGGCTGGTAGAAGAAAATGTCTTTAATTTTGAATCTAATAAGTCAAAGACTAAACAAGAGGGAAAAGGTGGCCTGGGAACCTCACGGGTTTCATTAAATTTGGCCAGGCACAAAACTGAACGCTTATTTTCAGATTCTTCTTGTAAGCATGAGTGGAAAGGAAAGCATCATCATCAGCGTCAAGAAAGTAAAGATTCAGTTTCCAAGGAACTGTTTACCCAGAGTTTTGAAACGCCGTGTTCTTCAATGGGACCTGAAAGTATTCAAGATACAGATCAAGAGATGCAGATAGTCGAAGAGCTTCATGCTGCACGCGTGGGGAAAAGTGTGGATTTACCTGTGGTACCACCTTCTGGAGAGTTAATGAGTATGGAAATTGACTTGGTGGAAGATGATGTACATTCCTCTGCTGCAAATACTGATTCAGACAAAAAGCTTCTAATTGTTATTGACACGAATATTCTGATGAACCATCTCAAATTTGTTAGAATTTTGAAGACAACAGAAATACCAGGTTTTGATGGACTTGTGTTAATAATTCCCTGGGTTGTTGTGCAAGAGCTAGATCGTATGAAGGCAGGAAAACTACTAAAACATGCACAACACAAAGCTATACCTGCAGTTCATTTCATCAATGACAGCTTCAGAAATCAGGATGGAATGCTGTGGGGTCAGTCAATACAACTTGCATCTCAAAAACTTTATGGACTGAGTGATGAGAACAATGATGATAGGGTATTAAAATGCTGTCTGCAGTACCAGGATTTATTCCCCTGTTCTCTTGTTATTCTGTGCACCGATGATAGAAATTTAAGAAACAAAGGCCTAATAAGCGGTGTGAAGTCACTCAGTAAAGAAGAATTGAGTGGAGAGCTGTGTAACTTATCTCTGAACACAGATGTGTGTCATCAGCCTTGTGTTTCTAAGCAACGATTGAAAGCAGAAGCAACACCAGTAGAAGAGAGCTCTGATGAAAAGTCTACAAATTCAGGACTGTCCATTCTACTTGAACGCATAACATCTGATCTTGAAAAATCTCTTGGAACAGCTTTATCTTCAATATTAGAAACAGAAATGAAAATTGCTTTTGGAAACCTTTGGATGGAGATGCTGTACTTGAAACCACCATGGACTCTAATACACATATTACAGTGCTTTAAAAAACATTGGTTGGCTGTGTTTGGATTAGTTATGGAAAAGAACTTGCTTTTAACTGTTGAGAGCCTATATGAAAATCTCTGTAGAGCTAATAAGGCAGTGGATTTTACAACAGTGAAATTCCTGCTTCAGGATTCTAAAAGTTTGTTACAGGCTTTCAGTACAAGGTCAAATTATGATGGTATTCTTCCACAGGCCTTTGCTGAAGTGAACAAACTGCTCCAAACATGTACAGAGGTCAAAACAAAATGGTCGCCAAATTCTTCAGAAAATGCAGTGAGTAAAAAACAGGAAGATAGTTCTTCGATGAAGTCTCATAACCAAGAAATCACTGTTTTCTCCAGTTCTCCTCTTCCCCAACCCAATAGGCATCAAGAAATATGGTCTATCCTAGAGAATCTTTGGATTACAATATATCAAAACAGTACAGATGTGTTTCAAAGATTGGGCTCAAATTCAACTCTGACTACTTCAAAAATAGCATCTTTTGAGGAAGCATTTATATATCTTCAAAAGTTAATGGCGGCAGTGAAGGATATTCTTGAAGGAATACAGAGAATTTTGGCCCCCAACAGTAATTATCAAGATGTCGAAACTCTCTATAACTTCCTAATCAAGTATGAGGTAAATAAAAGTGTCACATTTACTGCCCAGGAACTTTATGATTGTGTTTCACAGACTGAGTATCAGGAAAAGTTAACGATTGGGTGTCGCCAGCTGTTTGAGATGGAGTGTACCATGCAGCAGTGCAATGCATCTGTCTATATGGAGGCCAAAAACAGGGGATGGTGTGAGAACATGCTCAATTACAGGACTTAAGTGCTGATTTGTAACTGAAGAGGGATTGCTTTTGTCATCATGAGTAACAGAGTAACTTTCAACCTGGTCACTTTTTTGAGCCAAATTCTATTGAGAATTTTGAAGTTTTATAGGTACAAAAAAGTGATACTACTGACAATCTCATTGAAGCTCTGAAAAGCTTAATGCATCAGATGTGGGATAAATTGTTGATTCTTCTAGAGTTGACAATATGTCCATACCTCTATCTGATACTGAGCCAGTATCTCTAAGGAAAAGAGAGCCATCTTTTCAGTCTTACTATGGCAGAAGCCATTGTGGCATCTGAGGAAGGCCCAGGACACATCATTAGCGTCTCTCCCAACCCTGAGTATGGGCACATGATCAGACACTGCTAGATGCTAAGAAAAAATTAGGACATGACCATGCTTACCACATTCCACAAATAAAATCTCGTCCTGGGAAAAAAAAAATAAAATGGTTCAATTTCTGAGAAATTACAAACTACCAGAAAACCAATGATATGAAATAGATCACTTGAATTACCTTATGCCTACTAAAGAAATAAATTTAAAATAACATTTTCCCCAATAAGAAATCTATAGGCCTATATGGTTTTCTTGATCGAGTCTATGAAATGTTTAAAGAAGGAACAATTATGCAGCTATTCTTCTGGAAAATAGATGAACATGTACTTCACCACTGATTTTATAAAATTAGTAGTATACTCATATCAAAACCAAAGTACAAAACAAGAAAACTACAGAAAAATATGAATCATGACAATAGAAGCAAAATTTATTAACAAAATATCAGCAAATGGAATTGAAATACTTAAAAGTCAATATAAATGATGATCTACTGGAAAAAATTCTAGGTTTTTAATGATCACCTAGACTTTATTGATCCAAAGCTGGTTCAGTATTCAAAAGTTAATCAATGGAATTCAGAAATCAACAAGCCAAAGAAAAAATAATATGAGCATATCAATCATGCAGAGAAAATGTTTAAGAAACTACATCATACATTTATTATAAGAACTTTATCATCTTTAAGAAAAAATGAGAATAGAATGGAAAATTTCTCAACTTCATGAAGAACATGTAGAAGAAAAAATAAAAGTTCAGTGAATTAGATAAATTGGAATGGAGAGAAGGAAGAGGGATAAGAGTAAAAAAAAGAGTTAAATGAATCTGACATAGCTCTCCTATGTACATATATTTACCACAGTGAATCCCACTATTCTGTATATCCACACAACTGGGGTCTTCAGTAGAATAAGATATATTCCATGCTTGTATAAATATATGAAAATGGACTCTAATGTCATGTATAAGTAAAAAGAACCAATAATATTAACAACAACAACAACAACAAAAGCTGTGCTAAACTGGAGTGGTGGTACATGCCTGTAATCCCAATGATTTGGGAAGCTGAGGCAGGAGGATCACATGTTCCAGACCAGCCTAAGCAACTTAGTGAGACTAGTCCCTGAGCGTGCGTGCACATACACAAACACACACACACTGTATGCTCTTCCCCATGAGATTAAGACAAGGATGTTTTGTCATATGCAGCGTAGCATTGAATGTTCTAGCCAGTACAATAATGAAGGAAAAAAAAAGAAAAATATACTGATCAGCAGAAATAAACTGTTTCTATTTGTAGTAAATTCCAAAGTTTCTAAAATTAGAGGGTTCAGTAAAGTCACAGGATAAAATATAAACATACAAAAATAAATTATGTCGTATATACTTACAATAAGCTTATGGAATCCAATTTTAAGAAACACAATACAATATAAAATTGCTAAAAAAAGAATACTTTCCATAAGCCTAATGAAATATTTTAGGACTTTTATGTTAAAAACACAAAGCCAATGAAAGAAATCAAATTATATATAAATAGTATTCTGTGATCATGAAGACCAAATGTAATAAAAATCAATATGAGAATTCTACCCAAATTAATACGTTTAATGAAATTTTATAAAAACTTTGAAACACTTGATAAATATGCATGATATTATTCTAAAATTTATATGGAAAATGAAGAAAACTAGTAAAACCAAATGACTTCAAAAATAATAAAATGGAGGAATCTGTTTACTGAATTTCATTATTTATTGCATATCTGTTATTATTAAGACTCTGTGGTCATGGTCAGGGAAAACACATATAAGTCAATGAAACAGAATAGAATGAAAAATGCAAAAATATGCCCAAATGAATTTTTGACAAAGAATACAATTTAGGAAACAGTCTTTTTAATAAATGCTGCTGGGACAAATGGGCATCCATTAAAAAATAAAAAATAAAAAAAAACCTTCAACTATATCCCTCATATAAAATTAACTGAAAGTGTATCAGGAACTTATATGTAAGATATGAAGTGTAAGTCCTTATAATAAAACATTTTGAGGATCTAGGACTAGGACTGTGTAAAACAATTTTAGGCTTGGCTTCAAAAGGAAAATCTACTAAAGAAAATTAAAACAGATAAATAGGAGTAGAGATATTATAGAATGGAAGAAAATATTTTCTAGCTACATATGGAAGTCTCTGTATTCTGAAAATATGTACTTTCAAAATGTCCACATAAAAAAGTAATCATTTAGAAAATGGGCACAAAGCGTGAAGTGACATTTTACCAAACAGAATATGTAACAGCAAATAAGAACAAGAAAATGTGTTCTGCATCATCAGCAACCGGAAGAAGGCAAATTAGAATCACAATGAGCTACCTCTAGACATTTGTCATGATGACTAAAATAAAAAATAGTAGTCTGACCTTAGAATGATAATTTTCTTTGCAGTCAGCTTTTGTTTCTGCTCTCTTCTGGATTTGCCTTTGATTATGCACAGATTTATATGGAGTCTTGTGCTTGAATTTCAGAATTATCATAGATGTTCTTATAGAGTGGTGAGTGATCCGCCATCATCTAGCAATAACTAGTGGTAGAAAGACAGTAGGTGTCACAATTTGGTGTTGAATGGGATGTAGAAAATCAGGTGATATGATGAGAGAATTCCTCCATTGTGCAGAGGATGGGCCATCTCTGGTATCTCCTGAGGATGGCATGGAAACATGTGACAGTGCTTGCCTTCTTGGAATGACAAGAATAATTTGAAACTCAGCCTAGCAAATGTTCCTATAAGCATGGAAATATTTGCCACTAGAATATACTGAAGAAATTAAAGCATAGGTATAGTAATTGCCCTTCCTTTCTCTGGTATAACTCATGGTATTTTGTTGTTGCTGCTGTTGCATCATTGCTACCATCATCTCCATTTTAGTCTCTTTTGGAGACCAGGAAACTTAAACACTATCATCCATGAACCAATTTTCTTCTAAAAATTTCTCAAACCAAGAGAACAGGGGTAAAGGAAAGATCAGAGAGCCAGACTTTGTGGAAAATGAGCCCTTACACACATAGATAGATACTATATATGAGTAGAAATTATTTGGAATGAAATATTTTGATTTCTATCAGATTGCTTCCCCTTGCCCCTCATTTGAAGTGGAGGGGACAGGGAGAGAAGGAGGGAAGGGGTGGGTGAGGGGGGGGAGAGAAGGAGGAAGAGAGAGAGAGAGAGAGAGAGAGAGAGAGAGAGAGAGAGAGAGAGAGAGAGAGAGAGAGAGAGAGAGAGATATTAATTTGAAGTTTCAGGTACAAATGGTCTTTGTACTTAACATAGCTCTATTCCATGCTTACCTCTGCAGCTGTCAATCAGTTGGCTTAGTTGACATTATCACACTGAATTTGTGATGATCTTATTTTTATCTGTAATGATCACCTGAAAATCTAAATAAGATTTTTCATGTTTATTGGTTTTCCACTTCAAATACCACTAACTTTGTGTTTATGTAGTGCTTTAATTCTTTTGGTTCTCATATAACAATTGAGTAGTGCAGAAAACAGACATTTTTCACAAATGGAAATTGAGGTGACTTTAACTGGTACCCCTTTACTCAATGCCCAAAGCTTGTTTTATTCTTCTCTGCTATTCCTGCTGCATGTTGTCTATGCTGGTTATTGGCTGTTGCTTTAAGGGCTGATCCTGCATAATTCTCATAACCCTGGGATGTAAATGTTAAATATTGCTGGTCCTCCTATGCTTTGGTAGAGATTAAAGTGGACAGAAGATACCTCTTGAAACACAGTTATTACAAAACAATTTTTATTCTCGAATGGGGCTCACAGTTTCATTTTCTAGTCTTCCTCATTAGGAGAAATTATGAGCATGGGAGACAAAAAGACCCATGAATAATGAGTCAGACAAAACTGCCCAAGGGCTGACCTTATGCTGAAACTCTATTGGGCATAGTCATGAACACTTTGGAAATGTTAATTTACTGAGGCTCTGGAAGAGCAACCTTTCATACAGCTGTGAGCTCTGTGCTTGTTCTGTGTCTGGGGCCAGATGAAAATTTGGTTTGTGGTAGATACGCCCAAGGGAAGGAGTAAGTATTTTGGCTTGAGTTTGTATCTTGGCTGTGTCATTTAATCACTCTAGGTTTGGTGAAGTTGTTGAGTCTTTTTGCCTGAATTCTCTTATCTGTAAAGGAAATTTACAATAATATCTAGTACAGGGTTAAAAGCATTCAAGGAAATAATACATTTTAACTACATAGTGCTAAGAGCCAAGTATATGATGCATGGCATTTTTGGTCGAAAGGTGAAGCCAGCTAGCCATTGAGATGATATGATTATGTTAAGATTTGCATTCATATGGATATTGGACTCCTGCTGTTCACCTAGGCCGGCTACGGGACTCCTGGAGAGTTCCCATTGGTTGGGGAAGTACAGTAGGAGGGAGTTCCGGGGGAGGAGCTCTCTCTGCGGGTCCGGGAGGAGGCCTCGTGGGTGAAAAAAATCTGCCTGGGCGGTACCGGACATTGGCGGCAGTTTCAAAAAATAAACTTTGTTCCTGCTTGAGTGGCTCGTGATTTTGTGCCCAGCCAGACTGCGGCACATAGAATAATACCAAGGCATTAGAACATAGCAAAGCATTCAATAAGCACCAGTTATTTTATTACCAACCTTTGCTTTCTACTGAGTGCTTACAAAACAATTTTTAAGCTCATTTGCTAAACTTTTGGTAGTATAAGGAGGACTTTTTTTCCCAATTTTTTTGGAATAATTTAGTAATATTATTATATTGAACTATTGCATTGCACAGTAAAAACCCAGAATTATGATCATGATTTTTTGTAGAGAAGAGTGGATTTGAAGTCAGTCAAGATTATCTTGTCACATATTATCTATATGTTCTTGGCTATTTAAATTGCTTCTTTGAGTCTTTATCTTTTAAGATGGAGATAATAATACTCCATCTCTTCCCTTGTTATTTTAGTGCTCAGAGACCATATTCAAGAAATGGCTTTGTAAGTGTCATATTACTGTAAGAAGACTGTTTATTATGATTCATAGTTAGATAAAGCTGAATTGAAGGATGGTCATCTG